AGCGCCTTGTGGAGAGATCGGACGATTCTTTTCTGGACTTGGGCTTCTTTATCCAAATCTGGAAAGGGTAAAGACGCATTGCGGTTCTTTGCAGGACGGAGACATTTGTGTACAAAAATCAAGGCGTGAGGCAATTGTTTCAATGCATATCGAATTTGCCTCAAATTTGCCCTCCTCGGAGACAACTATACAGATACTGTTTTTTTCCTGAAATCAAATTGAAGACGCAACGTAGTATCTTCGATGCATGTGAAAATTCTCCATGAGTGGAGGCAATTCGGCAGAAGGCGAAGGATTCATGCAGAGATCGGATCCGACTGCTGGAATAATTAGAAGTGTGGGTGGTATTTTATGCATGTCAGACTTGATGTTTCGCAATCATTTGCGTGCAGATCTCTCACCCTTTTCGATTGTCTGAAGATCAATAATATATCCTCAGGAAGTACAACCACATCTTGTATTTTCTTTTGCTGCCTGCAGAGATCGTCTCTTGCGACCAGAATCCTCTCTTTCTCCGGGAAGGTGTTCCTGTAAATATTCGCTCCCACAACCTTCCGGTGCGTTTTCTTTTCATCATAATTGCTCCCCGAAAGTCGACGGTGTTCTCAACTCCGTGGGTCGTTCTTCGAAACCAAAGTGGGACTACTACATTGGTCCGGGAGATGCTCCGAAAAAGTGTTCAAAGTGACACCAGGGTACCCGAAAGTCGCACAAGGCTGAGCGGATCTGGGCGGAAGTATATTTCTTCGTTTTGTTAGTGGGTGGGGTTCACGTGTAGCTTACAGCCGAGTTCGAAATGTGGAGGTCACATAGGCGTCGCCAATAAGCAGTGGCATCCAATGCGTTGGCAGTTATCTAGGTAAGTCTACATCCCTTGGGAGATCCAGCATCTGCGATTACTGGCATAAGACAATTCTCATGTCCTTGACGGACGATGCCGCTGTCCATTGAGGATATAATCTTGAAGCCGCGCCCCATGCCACTCCAGTCTTTGCGTATCAGACCACGCTCTATCTATCTCTTTCAATTCCTGTTCGTAACTCCTTCGACTACATTCTACTCCATGTCCACCAACCACTGACAACAAGAGATCGATAATACCTCCGACGGCCCCAGGCGCTCTCTTTGCGACCTCGTCGTACGAGATATGCATGAACTCCAATTGTGTTTTGGATTTTCTGATGCAGTCACCTAGGTTCAAAATGACCGACTTTGTATGTTTTGGTAGTCTATTAAAGGCCTCTGCCCCAAAATCTATCCGATTTGACGATGTCTCCGAAGCTTAGCCATCTGCGAGTACCCATTCAAAGCTAGCAGGTAGATGTTGGACCGAAAGCGCGTGGTTGAATCGCTTGAGACCACATTCGAAAAACAAAAAAAAGGAAATACCCAGCGCCTCGAAAGCAAGAGTCACCAAGGGCATGCAAACATGGTCAATTCCGCGAGCATGGCGGCCCAAAGCTCTGACGGTGACGGATATCGTTGCCATGGGTATCCGGTAGGATACTGTGTATGATGCTACAATATATGTAAGAGCCTTGATCATGGAAGTCCATGATTGTACTAGGTGATGCTGGGTTCCAGAAGCAACAGTCGCGGTTGGCATTGGTTACATATCTCCAGTTCTGGATTCGTACTTCCGGTAGAAGGAAGTTGCCTTTGCCGATTTGAGTCTGCCGTTCAGCATCTAGCCTTTGAGCCTGGAGGAACCAAGGCTTGCTGTCCCCAGCGCTGGCAAGCATGGCAACATGCTCTTGCATCCTCAATTCAGGAAAGACTAGATCTTTGAAGAGACATCTCTGCCGGCTGAAGCATCTCCAGTACCGACCGAGCTTAGAAGTTGTACGGGGTCTTCTGCCGAAGCAAGGCCGCAACAGCTCGGGTGCCTTTGACGGTTGAGGTAGCGGCTTCGGGGGTGGGAACCGTGCGCCGGTGTTTTCGAAGTTGTTGAATTGAAGGATCATCGTGCAACACGTGTACGAGATGAGATGTGCTAAGAGTGCCACACGTCTATCAGAAGTCAATTGGATTAGAAGATGATAATGGGTGAGCGCATTAGCAAGAGGTGTGGTGAGACTAGCGCAGGAGCACAGCATATGAGCTGTGATTTAACTTTCATCGCCTGGATTTTGTCTAAAGGCTCGATCGCTTACTTCCAGCAGCGTGTCAACTTCACACCACCGAACACGAACCGCTTGGCCCAGGCGCTGATGTTGATTACGATCCCTCCGCATTCAGCCCATCGGGTGACCCTCTCATGTCTCGTACAGCAATTGTTACCAGCCTCTATCTCCTGGCTTTATCAAAGGTCTACAAGCCATTGGGATCGAGAAAATAACGGGAATCAACAGTGGGAATACCTTCCTCTGGTTCTTCAGTCTGGATTAGAATGAGTATTCTATTTTTGTTCACAACAGTGGCAGCCTCGAGTGAGCACCCAACTGACCCGGGCTGTCTTCGTCTGCAGCAGAGGCTCACGTCGTCTTGTTGCCCCTGACTCTTCTGCACACGCTACGAACGTTTACGACTGTGGCTGCATGTTCGGTAGAAGACCGCGGGGACTTTTTGGATCAGTTGGGGAAACAGGCAAGCACCCTCAATACTGCAATGCGAACAAAATCAATCGCTGTTGCCTACTCGTTTATTCTCACGGAGAACACTGCCATGAGTCATATTTGACCGTCAATGCTATCCCAGATGGAGGATTCCTGGGTGAGATTGTGTCCCTTTGTTGATGATGGCACCAAGGGGAAAAGCAAATGAAGGCGCTATCATCCAACGTGGGCATCGGCTACCGTCTCAAGTACCTCATGAACCGCAGCTCCGACACCCTTGAATCTCCATACTGGTGTAAAGTTGAAAACTAGGCCCGCAATTCTTTTTTATATGATAAGCGGTTCCTTAGATCGGTCGTCAAAGTCAAGGTCAATATACAGATGAGACCTTTACAACTTTGCATTTCCGATAGTAGACATTCACGTTCGACGAAAATTCAGAACAGAAGTCATGACAGAATCCTGAGTTTGACGTTGGAGGCCGCAAACTGACGTTGTTTCCTGAGGCATCAACAAATCGAATATAGTTGGCTTGGGCCTCTGTCGGCTAGAAGGCGCAAGCACCGCTCCCGGCTCTTTTCCCGCCCATTGGATATCCAATGTCCATAAACTCTTTATTCCCCATGCTCAAATTGCACAATCTTTCTTCTCTCAATGCTTCCAAGCTAGACTCTTCTTATATCTTTCATCATGCTACCGAAACCGTTTCTCTTCCCGGCTCTCCTAATCCATAGCAGCTATTCCCTCCTCAAAGCCGCAGCTATCAGCTTCCCCTCCCAACCCGGCGTCTCCGCCCTTTCATCACCAGAATCAAGCAACGAGACTTCAAAAATTCCTAATCAATTACCCTACACCGGCACCAACCCCTACTGCAGCGCCTCAATAATCTGGACCGGCCTCAACACCCTCGACTCCCACTTCCAGCGAGACTGTCGCGCCGCAACGGACAAGTTCGAAGACTTCGTCGCTTCTTGCCCGAACCCGAACACTCGATATGAATTTCTAGATCCTCGCACGCAGCCGATGCAACGCTTGCCAAAGATGGAGACGCCGCGGAGATATGTTACTCGTGGGTTATGACAGCCTCGCCATCTCACGTCCTTGCGTTTCTCATCTGACTGAAAGAGGGTAGGAATCGGTCGCTGCACCGTAGCGATTGTGAACCTCGTTGATTTCCCCGCCGAGTACTTGCCGACGCAGAGATCGGGGCCTTTCCGCAAGACGGACGTGGACTCGTATGAAGGCCTTGCTATGGCCGTGACGGAGATGTACACGTCCTGCCTGCCGCATAGCCTCGGGTGGGCGGCTGTAGGTGAGTAGAGCCAGGTGATCCTCTTTCGCTGCGTGCTGGGAAGCTATGCTTGGTAGGCAGATCGGGAGTCTAACGAGGGGCATAGGTGAGGCTAGTTCGCTAGGTGTGTTTATCTTCGCAACGGGGTCTTTAGTCGATCAGAAGATTGAGAAGGGTTTCCCCCCGGTAGGATATCTGGGCTCGGCTGCGGAGAGTGTTGGGGCGATCGATGTTGTTGTTTGATGAGGAGGGCAAGGAGAAAGTGACCGAACGCTCTTGTGCCCTGAATAGTTTTTTCAACTTTGATGGAGAGATCAAAGAGTCGAAAGCCTACCGCCATCACATGAGATATCTGATCCGACGGATCTTTCGAAAACGCAATGGCGAAGACCGTTGGCCACGGTACCGCGATGCTGCCAACCCGTTCACCATCGTGATCTATCAGGGTCCTCGCCTGGTAGCCCTGAACCACCTCGATAGCTTCAGATGAAGGCGCGTCTAGTCTCCAAAAACCCAAGTCTTTCTGTAATCCGGGATTTTGTCATACCTTACAATCGCGAAACAGACTTTTTGCGCGAGCATGGGCTGAAGACCCAGTATTCCATTTATCCAACTGCTAATATCATCGAAGTGTGTGAGTATATGCGCTTCTGCTAGGAAGGAAGCCAATCGGAACATTTATAGCCCGCGTATGAGGATATGAGATTTCTTGTCATCTATTCATTGCCAGACGAAGACATCAACGTCCTCTTGGGAAACGATCACTTGAGCGAGGCAACACTCAAAGATCAGGATGTTCTGGGGCCTCCGATTTCTAAGGCGACAGGTTATGGAGTGACCTACATGACTAGATGGATCGCGGGCGCACGAGGCTTCAGGAGGCATGTAGCTCCAGTACCTCAATGTCCTGTATCTCACTCCAGCTTAAATTCAAACCTGGTCTAAATTTCTGTTATCTTGGCGTGGCAAGTATAAGGGATGCTTTTAAACCTCAGCCCATGCTAAGAAAAATACCAGTAGCGGGATTACAAGGCCGCGCCAGATTTGTATAGGGGTCACACCAAAATAAGGCGCGGCCTCGTAGCAACCTCGCTGTTATCGATGAGGCTATTCGTACAATGGAGGCTCTCCGCCTTCCCGAGGTATACAGGACGGAAAGGAGACTCCCCGCTACCGGAGCTGGGGATTTATACGGGGAAGAGGACTTTATCGGTGGTGTTGCCTATATAGTCTATCTAGTCTAATCCTTCTTACTCCGCCTCGCTGGCGCCTCTAGCCGGGCTATATTATACCTATCGTCGGCGAGCTCCTTTAAGGCCTCTTAAACCCCTTATTGACGAATAAGCCCGGTTATTTGGCGTAATATCGCCACCTATTAGGCGAGTGCCTTGGGTAGTTAGCGGCTTGTCGGGCTTATTGTATATCTAGAAATTATTAACTAGAGGCTAATACGCGTCAAACTACTTGGGTGTTTATTTGATGACTGTTTTTAGCGCAATAATAGCCTTACGAGTCGCCGGAGTGTTTACGGGCAACTTTAACATTATTAACGCGACCTTCGAGGGTATCACAGGCGCGAGTTTGCTACGTTTGGTCCCCTTTCGCGACTCTTTCTGCTCATCAAGGCTGATAAAGGCTTTTCGCTTAATAGAGGGGTGGTAGGAGGTAGGGAGGGTGTTAAATAGTGGCGACGGCGATCTAGACGCGTCAGAGTACGTGCCGCGACTCCACTCAGCATCACTAAGATTACTCTTATCCTTCTCCTACAGCAGGGTCATATCGTCTTCCGAGAGAACCTCTGGCAGAGGACGATCCCGATTAATGTCTTTAGGGTTACTGCCGTACCAATCCAGCTCCTCCTAAGTATCCTCGAAGCCCCCGTATTACGGGGGCTGGCGAACGACGCGTTCTTGAGAGATCATAGTGGGCGGGGCGGAGTTGTGGATAGCTTCAAAAAAATTGGTAGGCGACAGCGAGGTATGGAGAAGAAGAGTGCAACAGGTAAGGAGGGCTGCCAAATTACTATGGGAGGGCCTTACTAATCCGGCGGGTCGGCCTAATCGTTCTCCGGTAATATTACCGTGGGGGTGGGCTGAGGTTTAAAAGCTCCCAGTATAAGCGCGCTGATAGGGCTGAAGTATTTTTCCGAATTCACAACCAATATCTAGAGTGCGGAGGACAAGTCTTCCAGTTGACATCCCTTCAAGTCAGTAGACGAACAGAGAAAGCAATCGAATCTAGGAGGGAGCCATCCGCGCCGCAATGGCTACGAACGTCGTCCTAGACACCACCATGGTGCGCCAATTTCCTCCTACTATCGTAATACAGACCTCACTCACTTCCCTAAGGGCTCCATAACCCTCGAACTCTACAACAACCATGCCCCCCAAGGTGCGCAAGCTCCTTGTGGCTGACTCGAAGCCCCCATCTCTTTCCCTTCTGCCACGTCATACTAACAGCCTGTCCTTCAGACCTGCAACAACTTCTCCACCCTCGCCCAACGCGGCTACTACAACAACGTCATCTTCCACCGCATAATCCCAAACTTCATGCTGCAGACCGGCGATCCCACCGGTACCGGGCGTGGAGGTGCTTCAATCTATGGCGAAAAGTTCGAAGATGAGATAGATCCGGGGTTGAAGCATACAGGGGCCGGGATTTTGAGCATGGCGAACAGTGGGAAGAATACGAATGGGAGTCAATTCTTCATTACTTTGGCGCCGACACCGTGGCTGGATGGGAAGCATACGATTTTTGGGAGGGTAAAGAGTGGGTTGAGGGTTGTGCAGAGGATGGGGCTTGTGAAGACGGGGCCGGAGGATAGGCCGGTGGATCAGGTCAAGATTATAAGAGCTAGGGTTGTTGAAGAGGGCGAAGAGGGTATCTAGTGATCCGTGGGGCCAACAAAAAGGAGGATAATCTGCAGACAAAGAGCTATCAATCCCATTGTGAAGGACAGGAAGAAGACATACGCGTCAAAACTTCAAAAGCCTACGGAGCTACACGGCGCAATCCTACACCTTGAACTCCTGAAGCCCATCAAGTACAAATCTATGGTTTCGGAGACGTGGATCAAAATCTCCCGTTGACCTCGCATATCTCCTTGGATTGCAACCCTCTCGGCGACCTGTGGGTTGGCTCTAGCTCTTAGGGTACGCTGTTCACGAAGCCTAGCCGCATTATGCGTTCTCCCTCCTCGCCAGCTTGACGTCTTCCCCAAGGTGCTTCGCTCGAGAATCTCTGAAGCTCTGACCTGTGCTTGGGTTCTCGATATAGAAGTACGCAAAGAGTCGAGAGGAGTATCACGCTATGAGGCGTGCCTACCTCAACACCAGTTATTATGGGCGAACGAGAAACATGTGAAGAGTTTGTAGGATGTGTACTTGGACAAGCCGCACTGGCTGGGCGCTCTATTGTAGTCGTTGAAACGTTCAGCGAAGTCGGTGCTGCCACAGCCGGAATTAACGTCTTCCCAAAGACATCTGAGAGGTTATTGGCGCAGCAGCTCTTCTGCGGACAATACAGATTCTGAGATGCACAGCAGAATGCGTCGTACAGCAACCCCGGCTCTCCGCAGGTTACGATTGCGCTATAGGTCTCAATGAAAATTATGCGCTGTCTAGTAGGCGCTGCCTTCGCCGCCTGTATTTGAATGGCAAGTTTGATAGACTGTCGAGGCGATGCTTCCATCGGGCCAGTAACAGATTGGTGCCTTGGCAAGTGCGTAAGGCAACAAGTATAGCACAAAACATGGGGACTCTATCAGTGCGTAACGAACAGTCGGAGTCACGGTGGCTCGAAGACGTTGGCTGGTGAAAGCTATATGGGAGTAACATGATCCTTGAGGAGCCGGCCTCCATGGAGGATTAATATCTTCTACCCACTGCGAGTGCTGTGACGTCTACTATCTCTGGTGACACACAGGTTTCAATGGAGTGGTTTCAAAGAACAGGAATGACCACGGTATCGTGTGGGTAGAAGAGGATGTAGATTCTCTGGAAGCAGGATCCGAAGGATTCCCTAAGGATCTAGTTAAGTAAACTATACTATATAAAGCTAGAAAGAATAACCCCGCAGGAAGCACCTTCTAATTACTACGGAATAAATAAGATAGAGCCTTAGCGATTATAAAGCTATATATAAATATAGGTAAAAGCTGCTTTTATAATAAATAAAGCTGTAGTATAGTATAGCACCTGAAGAAAAAAAATAAAAACAAAAAAAAATTCACTGTTCCTGAAGTTTTCCGCAAGCGTATATACTTCTAAGAAAATATAAACTTTCGGGAAAGCATAGACTTTTGAGAAAGTATAGACTTCTTTATCGAGAAGTTTTATATAAAAAGCTTAAATCTTTAGAAAAGCTTCTAGCGGCGGCGTTAAGTAGTTTATTATTATAATAATAATAAGGTAATAGAATCTAGAAGATAGCCTATACGAGTAATAAAGTTCTTAAGATAATCTCCGTAAAATATATATCTAATTTTTCGACTATTAAGTTATATAAGTATAAAGGATCTTTTATAAGATTTACTATATCTACTTATTCGAAATAGATCTCTCTAGCGAGCTTCTAATTTTTCTATATTCTTTTAATATAATATAATTAGATTATTAATATAATATATAACTTACTTAATTCTCTTATTATATTAAAAAGTTATATTCTTTTTTTATTAATTTAAATATTATTTAATTATATTATAAAGATTTATCTAATAAATAAAATATTAATATACGATTTAAATATAGCTAGTAGAATCTTCTAACTTAGCTATTTAAGTAGAAATATTATATTTAAAAAGTATATATAAGATAGATATATTAATAGAAGCTTTTAATAGCGATTCGAAAAGAATACTAATAGAAGAGATTTCTAGATATTCGATAATTTATATATTAATCGAATCTCTAGTCTTTAGTAAATATTAATCTTATTCTAATTTAATATAAAGAGAATTCTTATAAAGTATCGCTTTTAATAATTTATTATAGATCTCAATTATTTCTATATTTTTAGAAGTATTAAAAAAGCTATATATAATAATAATATCTTCAAATCTTAAAAATTCTTTTAACTTATTATTAAAGAAATATTAATCGCGATTAAGATAATAAATATAAAACTTTTTATATATAGTAAAGAATAATTTAAGATATTAGATAATATTCTTTATATTAATAAAGATAGTAATAAAGGAAATCGTAAATTTACTTATATAGTAGACTTTTATAAATATAAAAGTAGATCTTACTTTAATAGTTTTAAATAAATTAATAAAATTTATTTTTATAAATTAAAAAGAATATATAACTTTAATAGAATATAAAGACTAAGATTTAATAGTAGATCTATATTTAGTATACTTAAGATATCTAATAATATATTTTTTAATATCTTAAGCTTTCTTAGATTAGTAGTAATTATATAATCTTATTAGAGTATTAATCTTAATCTAGTATTCGCTTTTATTATAAACTTCTCGAAATATTATAAATATCTTTTCTTTCGACATATAAGGTAAATATATACCTTCTCGAAAGATCTATAGAATATATTATATTATTCGATATTTAAAAGCTTTTCGAAGTAGCGTAATAGTAAAAGTCGAAGATTTTACGATAAGAAATTTATAGATTTTATTAAATTAGATATTATTGCGATAAACTTTAATTTAAATCTTAATATTTTTATTAATTTTATTAAAGGCTTTTATAGATGATTTTATAATTTTTATAGTAGAAATAGCTTTTAATAAGAAAGAAGAAATATTATATAGCGTATCTCTATTAATAATTTTAAATTACTTCGATTTAGTAAGTACTATTAAAAACGAATTAAATCTATTCTTATTATTCTTCTAGATTTATTTTAAATTATAATTTTCTAATTTTTATCGTACTTATATAATTATAATATTCTCTAAGTATTTAATATTAAATAAGATTCTCGATAAGTTATTAATAGCTTTATTTTAAGGTTTAGATATATATTAAATAGTAAGATTTAAGCGATAAAATCTATTAATCTAATATTTATAAATTCTCTTATAAAGATCTAAGTTAAGAAAATATATAAGAGATTTATAATTAATATATATTATAGTAGATTAATATAGATACTTATATAAATAGTTATACTTTTTATAAAATATAATAATAGCGTAGAGTTCTCGCTTATAAGTAGAATACTTCTTTTAAATAAAATTAAAGATAAATAAATTATATAAGATAAATATTTTTTTATCCTTCTCTATTATAATAAGCTTTTAATAAAATAGTCTCTTATAATATAAGAATATAGTATTATATAATAGTATATCTAGTTATAAAATCGAAAGTATTTATATATATATAAACGATTCGACTTAACTTAATATCGTATATATTTATTTTTATAGTATATTTAATATATAAGATCTCGAAGAATAATTATTCTATTTAAGTTTATTATTATTTTATCTTTTCTATAAATCTAGAAAGAGATCTCGCAATTTTCGCGAAGTTTTTTATTTATCAATATATGATATTAATAGTTTTTAAGAAATCTCGAACTTTCGATTAATTTAAAGAAATAAGCCACTTAACTACTTTAATAATCTATTTCTTAAGAATATAAATATATTCTTTAATAATATAAGTTATATTAAGGGCTTTAATTAATAATATAAATAATTATAATTTTTTAAAGAATAAGAGTAGCTTAATTTACTTAATTCTAGAAAAGAAGTAATATTATAGAAAAGAAAATAAATCCTCGAAATTATAGAAGCTATTAAAAAAGTTATTTATATAAAATATAAGAGATAATAAAATCTTAGAATTCGACGAATATAGTAACGAAGATTTAAAAGAAATAGAATTAAATAATTTATAAGCTAGCTTTATTATAATAAAGCTTATAAGTTATAATATCTATTATATTCTTATAGACTATATTTAATTAATATCTAAAATAATAAAAATAAAATAATATCTATTATTAGAATATAGAGATATTATAAAATATACGTACTTTAAATTAATTAAGAATAAATATTTATAATATAGATTAAATAGATAATTATAAACTTTCGAGCTTAGCTTAAGATAAGCTTCTAAAAAAAGCTTTATAACTTATAAATAATTAAAAGTTATTTAAAACTTATTAGTAGATTTCGAATCCTCAACTTTATTTATTATAATTATCTATATATTCTATAGAGATAGATATTTATTTATAGACTTAGTGAGTTTATAGATATTACTTTCGAGATCGTCTTAAATAAGCTTTTTTAGTTATTATTCTATATAAGAAGATTAGCGCTTCTAAAATTTCGAGAAAATAGATTTTATATTAGATATAATACGTATTTAATATATAATAAAATTCATATAAGATAGGTCTCTTAGATCTTCTCTATTAAGATATTTATACTAATATAGTAATCGTAATATTTATAATCTTTATTCTATTATAATAATAAGTAAATTAAGAATTAAATCTAATTCTAGCTTATTAATCTATTTTTCAAATTCTAATAATAAAAGATATTACGAAAGATTTCTATAAATTATTCTTTTAATAGAAAATATTTATTTAAGAGATATTTATGAAATAATAATATTAGTATTCTAAAAGTATTAAAGACTTTAATAGATTAATCTAGAAAATTTATAATAATTATTTACTTTAATAAAGAAAAAGAATTAAAAACTTTAAAAATAATAATAGAGATATTTAAAGAGCTTAAATTTTTAAGATAAACTTCTACGAGCCTTAATATTTTAATATTCTATTTAAGATAGACTTAATTTATTAGAAATCTTAACGCTTAATCTCTTTCTTATCTTATAAGTTATTTCTAGAATTAAAAGAATTATTAGATTTTAAAGAATTAGTTTTCTTA